AGATCGACTCTATACATAACCTATTTAACCTCTTTAAAAAAAGCGTTCAGAGCAGGTTTATATTCCTTTAGACGGAGCGCTGAGGCCCTCTAATTAGAGATCCTCTCATTGTGACCCAAGATTGTAATAAGACCTACCTAGCTCAGATCTCTCAATGGCATCTTACACTTGACTTGCTCTAAAACATTACCAGGCGTATTCCAAAAGTGAATCAGAATACCTCAAAAATATATATTGATGTTCCAAGCTACCAAAACATAGCAAAAGTATCCAAGAAGTACATAGGCTCCAGAATCTCAAGGGAGGCAAAGTTGCCAGAATGATTTGACCAGTCCTATTTAAGCTGCGCGTATTACAGCTGACAAATCTCCCAACAAAAGAGCGCCTTCCAGGTGCAAACCGATCTGTATAATCCACTGGGCGTGCATATTTCTTTTTCCATTTATTTTTAAAGGTCGGTCCATTACTTCTATAATCCACTTTCCAACTGAACAGGTAGCCTATACATTAACCCCAAATCGCTATATTACCAAACAATTATTCGACCGAGTGCAATGGTTAGCAGACTGCCATTTTTTTCATGCCACATAACCATTTGTAAATGTTTATTTCTAGATACTTAAGTCACTTTCTGAACGACGTCTAGAAATGAGCTTACATTTTGACGGCCTAGAAATCACTCCTCTCAAATGGGAGAAACAGGAACCAGACCTGACTACCAAGCCCCAAGCTAGTATGAGGGACACAGGGGACTGCTCAGCCATACAAAGTCCTTTCTGGACTCTCTTCCCTGCCTCATTAAAAGGTTATACAGATTTCTTGCTCTAAAGGCATCACAGGAGCTGTATTGGCTAAACACCAACACCACCTCAAGGAACGAGTTTTTTTTTTTTTCTCTCGTGTAATCTATAGATTATATTCTTAAAAGACCCAAAGGCAAGGCCTGAAAAGCAAAATTTTGAATTCAGTGTAGATATCCCGTATCTTGTGATTTAATTCATGGATCTGATCTAATAATCAAGGTAAAGGGCAAAGTATTTTATTTTCCAAAGAAGCAATAACTTAGAAGACCTGCCCCTTTTGGGAATTTCCAAGGAGTGTGTTCTTTTTTGGAAGTGAGGATGTCCAGCTCTTACTCAAAGTTAGGATTCCAGAAAGTAATATTCTCCTTCCACTCAACAACAAAAAAAATGTGCTTCCTAACCCTCTATAAGTCAAGCCTTGGTGCACATTTGTCTAGTATGCATACATACTGGCTACGGTCCAATAACCTGGAAAATGCTAGCATCTGCCAGAAGTTCCAAATATGTTAGAACAACCCCCAGTGGGCAACCAAAGTACCACACAATGTTAGTTAACGTATTAATTTTTCTAGAATCCAAGCTCCCCATTTTCCCCCAGATACCACCTCTGTCACTATACATTATATGGAAAGCAGGAAATTACATAAAATTCTGGTCTTGTTTTAAACAAATTTTTTTTTCAGAGATTGGGGTATACATTTGAAGACCATAGCCTTCTCAAAATAAAAATATGCTTGTTGGCCGGGCACAGTGGCTCACTTACACCTTAATGCTAGCACTGGGAGGCCAAGGTGGGCGGATTGCTCAAGGTCAGGAGTTTGAACCAGCCTGAGCAAGAGCAGACCCCATCTTACTATAAATAGAAAGAAATTAATGGCAACTAATAATATAGAAAAATTAGCGGACATGGTGGTGCATGCCTGTAGTCCGCAGCTCGGGAGGCTGAGGCAGAGGATCGGCTTGAGCCCAGGGTTTGAGGTTGCTGTGAGCTAGGCTGACGCCACGGCACTCACTCTAGCCTGGGCAACAAAGCGAGACTCTGTCTCAAAAAAAAAAAAAAAAAAAATATCATATAATAATATATTATATATGCTTGTTGTATTTACTCCTTTAATAACCACCCACCTATAACCTGTCTCATTAAGAATATTCAAAATATCTACATTACGAAAAAAATTTACTTGTAGTAGGAAAGAGTGAGTCAGATCAGGCACAGTGTTCATGCCTGTAATCCCAGCACTTTGGGAGGCCCAGATGGGAAGATTGTTTGAGGCCAGGAGTTCAAGACCAGCCTGGACAACACAGCAATACTCTATCTCTACAAAAATCTTTTAAAAATTAGCTGGGCATGGTGGCATGCACCTATAGTCCCACCTAATCAGAAGACTGAGGCAAGAGGATAATTCCAGGCTGCAATGAGCTATGATTGCACCATTGCATTCCAGTCTGGGTGACACAGAAAGACCTCATCTCTACAAAAAAAAAAAAGTTAAAAAGAAAAAAATGAGTCAGTCAGTCACCAGAATTTTGAACAAAACCAAAAATAAAACAAGTCTAGTAATGAATCCCAAAGTTTAGGGGTCCAGTTAGTGCTGGCCAACACTCTATGCAAAGCACAAAGAGCAGTTACAGTTCCAGCTGCCCCAGGAGACCCGTATCAAGCCGGTTCACTCTGGAATCACGCCCACCATGCTAACACCCACTGCCATTCAGACCATCTTGGTAACTACCCTTCCACAAACAGTATCTTGCAAGGGAATGGGAATTCAAAAGTTAAAGATTCACTTCTATTCTCCTTACATAAGAATTTATTCTAAAAGTACAGAAATGTTTTTTTGTTTTTTTTGAGACAGAGTCTCACTTTGTTGCCCAGGCTAAAGTGAGTACCGTGGCGTCAGCTCGGCTCACAGCAACCTCAAACTCCTGGGGCTCCGAGCAATCCTCCTGCCTCAGCTCCGAGTAGCGGGACTACAGGCATGCGCCACCATGCGCTACTAATTTTTTCTTATATG